GAATTGGTGGAGGTATTCCCCTGTTAATGCACTCGGGCTTATGATCCTGGGTTGCAGAAATAGCATCGACATCATCTACTGCACCAGCCTTTTCTCCAGATGGAATCTGCGGATAATCGTCATACTAAAAACTATGGGCGTATACCTTTAAGGTCAATTCCCATCTAATCAAAATAGGTATGCAGACGCTGGTGAGACAAACAATGATTCTACGTGAGTGTTGCAGATATGTGTCCAAGAAATATAGGAAACTCTGCATTAGAGAGAGTTGTCGTCTGAGTACTGATTGGACCGATAAACTGTCAGTTTTAATAAAGTCCAGCCGCAAGCTGGATACTTTCTTGTAACAACTCCACGTACAAAGAATCACACGGACCATTTGATTTCTTGTGTTCATGAGGATTAGATGACGAAGATGATTTTGCATGTTTTTCGAAAAGACAGCTTTCAAAGACTTTTGAAAATCAGCGGTTGTACCTCATTATTGTTGTTGTCGATTAACTCTTCGGGTCTTGCCTATCTGCGACTTCTTGGAGGTTGATGAATTTTCAGCCGCATTCAATTCACTGGACGAATACGTGCCAGCATCCGTCGTTACAGATATACAAGGGCAGAAAGAAGCCCTAAAACAGTGCAGATGAACAGCCGAATGAAGGGCTCAAACAAATTGGTCAAAGAGATCACTGACCAGTGCCGATGTCTCCACCCGTCTTTCGATAGCCGTCTTCTTCGGAAAAAATTTTGAATTATGAATTTTGAAAGTCCTTCCTGTTGGCTGTGGCAGTTCGCACGCTCGAAAACGAACCTGTATTCAGTAAGGCCACCATGATTGAAGAGATAACGTCAAAAAGGCAGCGTCAGTGAAACTTTCTCAAAACGAGCGAAACAGCCAGAACCAAACTGCACCTGATCACACCTGATCACATCAACGATGAAAGGTTATTTTCTAGAAAATGTTATTACAACATAATTTATGACAATATACCTTCATCCACGTGACGAGAGGTATCTGACTTTATCACCTTTTCCTGGTGTAATTAACAAAAGATTTTAGATATCTTTCGCTAATTATACTAATCTGTTGATATCCCTCACTCAGATGCACAGAAAGAATCAATGGTACGTAAGACGGGTTGTGGCCAAGTTCCTTCATTCTCCGGAACACAATTACCTAATAGCCACAGGCAGCAGTGTCAATCTGAATTACAACGTCATCGTTACTTAACCGTTTCAACCTAAAACCATCAGCTTTCATGTTTCACAACTCAGATATATTGACTTCCTGTAATTTTGTCGCTTCTAGCCGTTTCGCACTTTTCCCAGGTCCTGCGAATATGCGCCCAAAGATTTTAACAATAAAGTTGAATAACGGAAATTTTTTAAATATTGTTTGACTTTATTTTCTGAACAGCTATTGGTTAGTGTGGGCATTCCTAAGTTTCTCTTCCTTTTCAAATGAAATTTACATATGAAGGAAACCCTCTAAGAATTTCATCGATGAGAAGGAAACTTCATAATAATAGAATATCGTAGTAAGTTCAGCTTGTTTCTACATTTCATCGCCTTTGTCATCTCGGAGTACACTATAAATTCTTTTAGATGTTATGGAGGATTTATCTCGAGATCCTTCCAATTTGAGAAACAGGGGGTACCAACGGGCGGAATCTACGGTTCAACAACCGGCTGCCAGCCATACAGCATTCCGCCAAACAATCTTCTTCAGCCCACGACGCCTGTCTGTTCTCATGATTGCATACCGCAGTATGGACGGTCTCTGAATAGCTGTCTGTACTATGGTAAGAAGATTCAAAGCTATGGTTTGTTCGTTTAGCTGGGCAATTGATTTTTAGGATCTGGCCCGTATTGGCTAACTTCATCCGAAGCTGCAATGCAGGACATGTATAACCACGGGCCAATTGTTGGAGTGTTCGAAATCTTCGAAGACCTGTTCTACTACAAATCAGGTTTTCATTTTGCTGCATGTCAGGGTACTGTTGGCTAATGACTTACGTTTAGGTGTCTACCAACACAAGGAAGGTGGAACTCGCGGATATCACGCTGTGCGAATTATGGGATGGGGCGAAGAAAGTGGGGAAAAATACTGGTTGATCGCCAACTCTTGGAATACTACTTTTGGAATTGAAGGTAACCATGGCTAATTGAAGGAAGGCATATTGTGTCCTTTCATAATATATAACTAAGAATTACTGTAATTGAGTACTGTTGAAAACTAGTAAACAGTTAACGACAGTATATTTATACAGCGCAAACAAACAGCGGAATATTTTTTTCCTTATCCTGTTCTCTTTAATAGGGGTTCGTCAAGCGAGTCAACCTCCTCTACAATTTGTTTTACCTTTGGTTACAACTGCCGACACACCTCGCAGTTTCATATTGATTTTGACGCAATCGCGCCGCCTTTTTTCCCTCCTCTCGTTCTTTTTCTCCCTGGCATTGTCAGCGCTTCGATTACATTCCTAACGTCCTCGGTGGTCTTCTTTTCACCTGCCTGAACCGACGGAGCCTTCATTCAATATGTTTCTCTGAAATCGGTGTTAGTCCTGGAATGCTTCTTATAAAGCTGTTTCGGATGCTGTTCTTTCTGCCGACACAACACATCCATCAGAGCATTCGCATTTCTACCCAGTTCAGGTGTTGATTCTCTCCAGAGTCACCAACCATTCCTCTCCGTATAGAAGCACCGGTCTTACACCTTGCCTGTAAAACTGATGGCCATCTTCGTGTCGCGCAGTACTCCGCAATCTCCTCTCCGTTTAAGCAAAGCATTTTTGACCGATTTCGGCATCAACTTGCAGGACGGAACAAAGCTAGTCAAATTCTATGGTTTCCTTCAACATGGTTGGATGTCCAGCATACTCCATTATCACTAGATTCACGGATATTAATCAATTCCCTATGGTGAAGTCGATCGCCATTCATTCTGACTCATTTTCAGTAGGAGAAGGTAGTTCTACATGACTCGGTTTTCCATTCCAGAGCCTCTCCGTTTTTCCTGCACTGCGCGATGTCATCAGCAAAGGCATGCAGTACGGGGCTGCTTACTGTAGATCCTCGGTTATCGTGTCTATCGCCATCGTGAACAGAAAGGGGCTCAGTACGGATCCTTTGGGACTCCAATCAGAACAGGGAACACTTCAGTTTCGAGTCGTGTGCTTCAGAGTATCGTTGTCACTCTGTCGTACATTTTTGATAAACCTGACATATTTTTCAGATGCAAGTTTCTTTCTGTGCTCAACCAGATTGCTGGTGTCAGAATACGATCAAAACCTCTCTCCAGGTCTACGGACACCTTGTGAATGTCTTTTCTACCATCGCTGCATGTTTCGAGGACAGATCTTAAAGGAAGATGGCATCCGTGGTTGATCTGCCTGATTTAAAGCCAAATTCGATCGTGATGGTGTTGACATCATTTTTCACTCCTTCGTCCAGCACCCTCTGATATATTTTAATGGTGTAACAAGGCGAGAGTTTTCGCATTCACTCACGTTCCCTTTCATTTTAGCATTGGTATCAAAAAGCTCTGCCTCAATTCTCTTTCATTTTCTCCCATTCTATAATCTTGTTGAATATCGCGCAGAGTCAAACCATTTCATATTGCTCCAGGGTCTCTCATAATTCTGTTGTTACTCCGGCCGGTCCGATGGCCTTTTTATTTTTCACCATGCACAAAGCTTGTTCGATTTCCTCTGGTGAGGTCTTCCCGTCTCGACCATGGTTTCGTCAGATCTCTTCCGCGACGTCTCTGATATGTTCTTCATTTAGTAGCGTTTGAAAATGCCTTCTCTGATTTTGAATATATTTCTCGTTGGTCTGCACCATTCCGTTTTCTATCTTATGCACCTCCCTTTACAGATGTCTCTTTTTCTTCTTTCTTTGGCTTTTGCCATGCGATGGATGTCTTTCTCTCCTACCTTCATTGCCGCTTTTTCATATAGCTTGTTATACACAAGAGACTTCTTTATTCGCCTCCTTCCTCGATCTAGCATTGCATCCGCTGTCTCCTGCGCTGTTTCTTCAGCATCTCTTTCGTCTGTCAGAGGATTGCCGGCAGATTCTTTCTGGACTTTTGTGGTGCCTTTCATTTCTTTAACTTCACCTCCGACATTCCGTGTGATCATGCTGGCCATCAGCCGCCATGTTCCGCCCTGCTATCGTCATTTTTCTCATAACTTTTATTTTGAAGTCTTCTTTCAGCTTCCTTTTGACCCTCAACCACTGTATCTTCGAGCCTGTTGCCATGCCCGTCAATGGGCTATTCCTAACATAGCTTTAGGAGCAGTAGCCAAATCAAATACAACCGTCATCTGAAAGAGGTTCTCTCCTTCATGATTAAATATACTATGTCTATGCTCGCCATGGAGCTTGCCGTAACGCGGCTAGTAAGGTCGCACCGCATGTTCAAAGATTCGTAGATATTTCGTGCATCAGTAAATGTTCACAATTTATATATTCATATAATTGGAATAATGCCAAAATGCGTGTCAAATCAGTTGTCTGGCTGACACATTGTTTCATGAAATTTAAATTTGTGAATACAATTTAGTTTAAAGTTAACTTTTCATAGTAGAACAACGAGATGGCCAGCAATGGAAGTTAATTTATATGGCAAAATCTTATATGAAATATATTACTTCATTACGCCATTCCCTAGTTATGCGCTAAGCCACGAAGGTAAGTAATAATATATGTACCACGATAGTCATTTACAACGGATATTATCCTTTTGTCCACAACCTGATATTTCTTCGACTTCACTGGTGGAGACAGAAAAATGCGGTCTGGTCATAAAATAAACACTAAATCATAGAAATTCGTTAATTTGGCAGGAGCAGAAGTTTAACATTGTTTTTCTCAGAACTTCTCATAGATATGTAACGTGGTGGGATGCATATTACATTTGATCTTGACGATTACAGGCCTCTGGAATGCACACTGATAACGACTGTCGATTGGCTGTCATAAGGGCCGCGCCCAATCGTTCCATTGCACTGAAATGGTCATTCTGAGAGGGAATATCGTCGGCCTTATGCCACCTCTCGGCTTGATCCCGAACACCTATATCCGCGAGAGCCCTTGTGTATAGCCGCTGCTTTATCAGATTGAGAAGTAACAGCTGTAGTTGTTTGAGCACGTGTTGTGAATACGTCCAGAAAAGAACGCAAGGCAACCTTTTCTATCGAAACCGGGAGAAGTCCCAAGGGACAGGCATGATGTATGCAACAAGTCTCCTCCAGACTCCAGTTCTCTTCTGCCAAAGCTCAGACTCTGGCACAGGATTGGAAACGTTAGAAGCTCTGTCTGACCTGTCTCTCTCCGCGATCCCAAAGGAGAAGCGGCGATGTAAGATGAAGCTGAAGTAGATGAAGACAGTGCAGCCCCATTGTTAGCCAGAAACACAGTCGATGCCCACCTCTTTGCTCCAAGAGAAGTGAACGACCACGGTCTTAATCAACAGATTTACCTTGAAGAAGGCGTATGAGATACAGATCATCTCCTGACCATCTGGATATGTTGCTGTCAATAAGCCAGGTTGTAAATATGAATACCAACTTAGAGACAATGTTCTCAATGACAGCAAACCATAAGTCATCTTACTTTTTACCTATGCGTTACTTATGATCTTGGAACATTATTTATTCTGTAAAAATGCCAATACCTTGAATAAGATCTACCTTTTTGCTATCAATTTGTTTGCAGCAGATCTTTGCTTGGCCACAGTGTTACATTTATTGCTTAGGATTTTTGAAAATGAAACGCGGAGTGAACGAATGCGGCATTGAATCTTCATTCCTTGGAGGACTGCAAACGTTAAGAGATTAAGAAGAGCAGAACTGGAATGCGTTTTCGTTTCCTCATTGAAAAACTTCGAATTATCCATTCTTTCATTTCAAGTTTGTTTAAGTGCCTATATCTTTTGTGCTCAATTCAAAGTGACTTTTAAATGAATAATAAATTGTTGACGTCGACATCTCATCTTCAACTGAGAGCAACAGAGTTTAAACAGGAAAGCAATTGGAAATTATGAATTCATAGCATTAGAAATGGTATTTATGATTGATTTTATGCAACGTTTACTGTTGGGACAAATCTCACATTACTTTGGGCATAAAAGTACGCCGCTTCAATCATGTGTTTCCATGTTTCGTGCGGTCCTGCAATTCGTCTACATCCGCTAAGCGATTCGCCTATGGCAAATGTTTTGAGACCATCTCCGTTCTACTTTAAGTCTGTTGTTTCATGACAAGATGTATAGAGATCTCTGAGTTCATCTGAGCGTTTACTCAGACCACTGATTATGAGCAATTGCTCATTTGTCATCCGTACGCATCATCGCACTCTCATAGGAGACATTGTTTCAAGGTGTCTTAATCAGACTCTTGACTCCTCCGCCGAGCATCCCTCTCTAAATTGTACATATTATCCGTCCATATGACAGATTTGAGGATTGTGATCTTAGTTGCCATCCTCTAAGTTGGATTCTTTTATATGGTATAAACCTTGCAAAGTTTGCACATGCCAGTCTAATCTGAAAGATGACTTGAGGATCAATGATGCCATCTTTAGCCAAACACAGTTCAGTGGTAATTGAAATTATGCTCCGTCATTCTCGCAATATCAACCCATTGAACGCTTACGATCATGGTCACAGCGGGCAAGTCATAATTTTCCGCCTCTTTTTGTAAACCTGTATCCGCACTCCGAGAATCCTGCAGTATACTACTTGGAGGAGTGCCAGTCGGCCGCTCTTGGAATGGCTAAGCAGCCCGCTGTCATCGGTACTCTCAAGATCTTTCAGGAATACCGCAGGAAATCTCAGGTTTCATCGGTAAATGAAATACTGATGATGAATATTACATGTTTCCGTGTAGTCTCGCTCGCTTGCGTATCATACCTTTTCAGGCGAAAAAGCCGTTCTGCCTAAAATTACGTGTGATTGTAGAGGACCCTGAAAAAAGTATGAGGCGAACAACAACTCAGTGCGTTTTGCACTACCAAGAAATCAGAGAGGGAACAACAGAGCGACGGCAAAATGTTGTCCTCGCCAAATGATGCAAAAATGCAAGCAGTCTTGAATGCTTATTCAGTAAATTCTTTATGATTTATAAATGAAGATTAATAAGTATAATTATGCAAAAGA